TGAGTGGTGCATGGCTGCGTGCCCTCCGACTGCCAAAATAAGGCAGGGAGGGGAGCAAACCAGCAGGGAAGTGAGTCACCTGGCTGCCTCCTGCTCTGTGACTGCAGAAGGTGGCGGGGGGAGTCCGAAATTGGTGGCAGAAGAGCAGAGAGTGAAGCCAGCAGCTAAACCACACTGGAGTGTGTCCCTGCAGGGGTGGCGGGAGGCAAAGGATGGACCCCGTTGAGCATCTTGTGCGACCACCGACCCTAGTTACAGGGAGGAAAAAGGGGGTGACAACCAGCATGTGCCCCAGACAGGGGGTTCAGCATTGCAGGGGGCTTTGCGTTTGGAGGGATCAAGGGAAGAGCCTTGGGTTGGTGGTAATGCCATAGCAGGGGGAGCCGCTAACGCCCTCCAAGAGCTGCCACTGACCCCTTTACCCCGTGTCCTCCCCAGGCTGCTGAATGAGAGCGAGAAGCGTCCCTTCGTGGAGGAGGCTGAGCGGCTGCGGGTGCAGCACAAGAAGGACCATCCCGACTACAAGTACCAGCCGCGGCGGCGGAAGTCGGTGAAGAACGGGCAGTCAGAGCAGGAGGAGGGCACGGAGCAAACCCATATCTCCCCCAACGCCATCTTCAAGGCGCTGCAGGCAGACTCCCCACAGTCATCCTCCAGCATCAGCGAGGTGCATTCACCCGGGGAGCACTCAGGTAGGTACCCATGAAGGGTTGGTGGGGGGGGAGGTGGAAATCACAGCTACCTAAGAAAAGTTGCATCCTAAACCATGCTGGGATTGGGATTTGGTACAGGGGGGTGGAGAGAGACCCAGAAATGCAGCAAGAAAGGAATGTTTGCATCAGGAGAGGGACAAGGCTGCCCCTTACCCATAGCACTGGTGCAACAATGTGCACCCATGGGTGCCAGTGCCTGCAGCAACTTCCACTCCCTCTGCCCATGCAAATTTGGAACTCACAGTTTTAAAAATATAACCCAAAAGATGGCCCTGCTGCCATGCCTTATGTTTGAGTTCTCTGTTATTTTACCTAGTGCAATAGTTTGGTGCTGATAGGGCTCACAGTTCCTCACACCTCAATATGCTTGTGTTACTCTACACAACTGCTTTCGGAAGCAATGTGCTGTTATCCAGCCACCCCACAGACCATGGGTTAACTATTAACAGCGTTATCAGGGC